AAAGTAAACTCTTAATTTAATGGCTTTATTTAATTAATTGGTTCCCATCCAATAGTGGAAAATTGCGGCGAGCAGAAGTTTGGACTTTTGGTTGTTTTGGAGTGTGTTTATAGCAAAGAGCTATTAGTCTACTACTAAACTCAATTATACTTCACTAATCACTACTTAGTTACGCCAGCATTCTATTTGGATCTATCAATTATTTTAATAATTGTTTGTAGCATAAATTATTCGATCAAATTTTGAGGTATACAATGCTTTAGGTAATTAAATGTTATTATTATTAGGTTGTATTTAGTAAATAGTAGGAGAAAATAAAATATTCGGTTGACAAGATTCGTAGTTACTCAAACTCGATACAAAAGCTAAAGTCTGCTAATAAGTGTTATTATTTTATTAATTTAATAGCACCCCTCGTTAACGAGATTAATTTTATAGAGGGTGACTAAACAAGGGAAAGTCTATTTTATCCTTCAATCTACGTGTAAACTTTGTTAAATAAAAAGGTTTTTATAATCAAATAACGTAAAATACTATAATTTAACAAATTTAATACAAGATCTTATCGAACATACTGAACATAAAATACATGATTGGTTCAATCTCATCTAATCTAAACTTATCTGATATAGGTATTACGTACCCTAAGATTTGTATATTTGTTGTAATAATTACTCATGTTGTATGAAAATAATTGTAATCCTAGTTAGGCTATTACATTTGTTTATAGTGGGGAACTCCTAAAATAGACATTACCTGTTTTAGCACATATTAATTTGATCGAGTTTCACATTGATTTTTAAATCGTTGATCCTGATTTATATGCTTTCCTTATTATTAATGAAAATTATTTTAGGATCTTCTTCTCCAATAGCAATCTTCGAGCTCGCCACTTTCTTCCTATGCGATCTGATTGTGCGTCGATATGCTCTGCACGTGTGGGCTAACTATAGGCGATTTTCTTGTTGCCAAGCTCCCTTTTAGCAAACACTTTGGCCACCTTGACGCCTATTATTCACTATGCCTTAACTTGATGATTTTTCGCTTCCGATCTGCTGGTGGGTCTCGGCTTAATGATCTCAAGTATCGGGCGTTCAGCCCACTGGTGCCGAACTGACCCCATTAATATTAAAATTTAGTTCACATATGAAAGAAAATAGTTGTACATAAATTACATCAGAATTAAATTAATAACCCAAAACCGGTGTGGGTATATAAGCCTTTGAATCTTCATATGATGGGCTTAAAGGCCGAATAATTAATTAAAAGGGCCATAATTAATTAAAAATGGCCCATGTACCCTTGAAGCCTAAAGAAGTAAATAAAGCTCATCAAAGAACTTAGGGTAAATTACAACCACCCCTGAGGTATTATTAAATTACGAAAAAAACCCCATGTTTGGATAGTTACATTTACCCCTAAACTGAATCTTCTTACATCTCCACCCTTGTGGTGTCAAATTCAACATAATCATCTAGATTCCGTGGAATGTTATCTAGTTTGTATTCGTTTTGTGCAAACATACAGTTTATGATGCACCACAATCTGATATATATATATACAAGCCAAAAAACACATCTTATGATCATCTAGCTTCAAAATTGGAGCTCGAATGGGATCAAACGGGTCCAAAATTGAGAATATTCAGTATAATCTGGAAGATTCCACTAAATTTGAAACCGCAAGGGTGGACGTGTAAGAAGATTCATAGATGAGGGATGGTTGTAATTACCCAAACATGAGAGGAGTTTTCGTAATTTTACCATACCTCAGGGAGTGATTGTAATTTACCCAATACATTACTAACAATTTCTAAAGAATCAAATTCGCGTTGGATAATTCATAATTCATCAAAAAGAAAGGAAAAAAAAAAATCTATATTGAGTAGAAATGCACGTGAAGCTCATCTACGACTCCATGCACATCTGACGTGTCATGTCTTTTGGTCAACTAAGCAAACACAAACGGTGTGGAGCTTCCCTCACTGATTAATCGACGAGGTGGTGATTAATTGGTGATATGTTGAAAATAAATCGATTTTTAAATTTAGTGTAATATATTTCAAGATACTATTAGTAAATGCTCAAAATATATTTAAATACGATTTTGTTCATCACATATATATCCTAATCATATACGGAAGTTTCATGATAATAAGATATTTAAGCCTATGATTATATCTCCATCATTTAAACATGATATTGTCATCGTCGATTCATAGAGCGTCGCCGTATTTGCTTTATTTCTTACGGGAATAACAAAGCCGAGAGAGTAAACAATAGAACAACCCGACTGTTTGAACTAAAAGCCCTAATTTATTTTTTATTACAAAAAAAAAAACCTAAATTTGGAAAAATCAATTTTCTCCCGATTTTTACCCAAAGGTTTGGTCCGTCTCTAAGGTTTAACCCATCTCGGACTGCCTCAAACCGAATCGGACCGTCTTTACAGGCCAGAAACCAAATTTTCAAACATTTCCACCAAAAATCAGTTAAGATTAATAGGTACACCTCCGTTTCGACAACCGATTAATAGGTTGTGTCGACCAATTTTTAGGACATTGAGACAAACAATTATGTAATTATAGACCTAAGTCATCTGATCCATTTTATGATACTGTTTTTTGAGAAAATTCTATTGGGCGGAATTAAAGTTTAGCCCGTTTATGAGCAAGCGGATCCGTATAATGGGCTGCAAAATTCATTATTACAAAAAAGTAAAATTTATTGTTTGAAAATATTTGTATTTGTTAACTTTTTAGTTTTTTACCGTATTATTTAGATTATATTACAAATTTAAATTTATTATTTTTTAACTTCATTTCGTTTTTACAAATTAAGTGTGTATGGGTATAGCTCAACTTGTTCCGAAGGTGGTAAGTTGGTACAAGGTCCTAGATCGAATCCTGGCAGCCGCAGTGTGGGAATTTCAACTCCAATGAGGGTTGATTCCTTGTGGGCACCAGGTCCGGATCCGCTACCTTAACGGGCCGTTGAGTCACCATGATTTATATTCTTCCATCAAATACTTGTCGGGCCAAGGGATGGGGGCCCTCGGAACGAGGGATTTTACCTTTTGGTACAAGTTAATTTTTACACTATTAAATATTTCTTTTATAAGCCCTATTAAATTAATTACACTAATATAGGTGCTATTAATGTAATTAAACTAAGGATGCGGTTATATGCAATACTAATTTCACTTGTGTAAAATTAAATTATAGAAAAATTCCAAAAGACTATATTTTATTAAGATGAACTGACAAATGTACCTATAAATTAAATTGCCTTTTATTTGCTCTTACAAGACCAAATAACAAATAATGCAAAAAGAAAATTTTAAAAGAAAATGTAAAATTAAAAAAAGAGAAAACCCACCCCTTGTGAAATCCTTCCCGTTGCCACAGCAGCGCCGCGCAAGCTCTGCCCCCGCAAGCTACTCGCCGATCGCCGCCGCCAGCTCCGCCGCTCACAATCATGAGCGATCTAAGCCCACCCAACAACGCTTCAAAAATGTTAATTCCTTATTTTATTCAATCTTAAAAAAAAAAGGAAAAAAAAATTAAATTTGAAACTGGTAAAAATCGACACCAAGGTGTCGAAAAAACTATGCTAGAAATCGACACTTACGCGTCGAAAAAAAGACCCAAAAAATTCGACAGCAACAATATGTCGAATTTGATAGGTAAAAATCGACACTGAGATGACGACTTTATACTAGAAAAGTCGACATTGTGAAATGTCGAATTTGCTACAGCAAAATCGACATCTCAATGTCGATTTTTACCTATTAAATTCGACCTGTACATGTCGACCGCGTCTATGCGAGATTTTTTTCGGGAAAAAACAATATTCTAGCTAAAAGACACATAAATGCATACCTTCTTTGGTTTTTTCACCGTAAAATCTTCTATTTTGATGTCTTCTGACTCCATATTTGCCATCTTTTTAAGATTTTTTGAGTTTTGATGATTTCGAATGTTTAGGATTTGTTTATGGAGGAGGAAGGACAAAGGTTTTGTGGGTTTTGGAAGATGGAGAAGATGAGAATTGGTCTTGTGGTTTTGTGATAGGGTTTTTTGTGGTTTAGAGTTTTTGGTATTTTGGTATTGCACATTTGGATTTTTCTATTTTTTTTAACAAGCAAAGGTATTATAGTATTTATACATTGAAATTTTTTAATTTGATCTTACACAAGTGAAATTAGTATTGCATATAGTCGCGGCCTTAAACTAATAGTGTTTAATTGAACACTTTTAACTTTGGGTAAATATCACTTAACCCCCTTAGAATACCCCCAATACTTTTAATATAAGCCCACAACCCCATATGGTATTCCACTTGATGGCAACCACCCGGCCACGACGAAGTGAAACTAATTTTAATGCTGCTGTAAATAATAATTATTAATTATGGCATATTTGGCCTCGGTGCTATTGCAAGATCGAATACTGGGGAATGTATGCGATGGATTTCTAGAAACATTAAACAACCGTTGGATCCTTCATGAGCAGAAGCTACATCGGGTTTATTGGCAATGGAGTTGGCTATAAACCATTATCAATGGAGAAAAATCATTTTAGAAGGGGATTCTCTGTCAGTAATAGCAGCCATTGAAGGGGTCTCGAGTTCTAGAGCTGACTATGGTACCAACATTGAGGACATGAAGCATTTGAGATCTAGTTTCGAAAGTTTTAAAGTGCATTGTACTCCGCGGAATGGCAACCAGGCAGCTCATAAATCTATTACACCGTCAAAATACGGGCCTTGTCATAATAATCAGTGTGGAATGAATATTATGTTTCTTTTTCCTAAAAAGGAAAAATGAAAGTTTTGTAACCACAAATAGGTTATGCACTTATATTAAAATACAAGGAGATATTAAAATACAAGGAGATCGTGTGCTATATTAAAAATACAAGGGGTTAATATGCACAAAGTTCAAACCACAGGGAGGTAAATGCTATTTTCCTTAAACTTGTGTAACTCATTTGATTAAAACCATGAATTTTGTCAATTTAAACATTCATCCATTCTATTTACTATTTTATCCCATTAAACTCAACACCGGCAATCGATCTATCAATTCAATGTCTGAAAAACAAACAAACAAAACAAAATTTAGTCTTCAGTTAATTTAGCTGGTGAATTGATCAAGAACCCTCCTATCTTCTCTTCTTGAATTTCCATCCTTCAAACAAAAAAACTGTGAAGAAAATGAAACTGAAAATAGTCCACCAGAGTCAAGAAAATCACGCCGCCGAAGAAGAACAAATCAAGAACGAGACAATGGAGATTGATCAAATCGAAACCCACAAAATTAGGGTTTTAGTTGAGGATGATGAAAACCCTTCTCCGATTAACCCACCTCCCATTTCTGCTTATGATCCCATGCTTGTTTCCGTCAGTTTTTTTTTTTTAATTTTTTTAATGGGTTTTTTTTTCCTTTTTGTGTGTGTTTAGATGTAATGAATTGATGGTAGATCTGGTCGGTTTTATTACAGGGTAAAAGGAAGAGGAAACCAAAGGAGATGATCGACGAAGCTCCCTCGGTTTTTCGAAGGAGGCGAAAGTTTTCTTCTTCTTCTTCTTCTTCCAAGTATAAAGATGTGAGGCCCCTCCTTTTTTTATTTATTTTAATGTTTTTTCGATATTTTGTTGTGTTAGAGTTCTGCTTGTGCTGTTTATTTAGCAATGTAGTGTTACTTTGGAAGGAGAGAAACGAAAAGGGGTGATTTTAAGAGCTAAATATTTCGATTTGGTGTTTCGATTTACGGCGTTTTGCTAAAGTGTTTGTTAGGTCTTAACGAAGTTTCGGTTTGATTTTCGATCAAATTTATAAATGCCCTTCAATCTGAATGTTTGATCTTTACTTAGATGAAACGCTGAAAATCTTTGGAATCGTAAAAAAATCGATGTTTTAGCTTCTCTTTGTGAGAGAACTGATTCGATATTTTATTTCTTCTCCTCGAATTTCGTAATGAGTTTCTAATTAGGGGAAATTTGTAATTTGGCTCGATTTTTCAGGGAACTCTTGCATTAGTTTTTTTTACGAACATTTTATGAACTGTGCTGAAAATTTTATGCATTTCAAATTCCTCGAGCAGGCGACTCTGGATAGTGGAGGAACATCTATGAGGTAAAAAAGAAATACTTAAGAAAAAAAAATCTTATGAGAAAATATAGGGCAAATTACGGTCACCCTTGAGGTAAGATCAAGTTACGAAAAAACACTTTTTGTTTGGGTAATTACAACCACCCTGGCAGTGTCAAATTTAATTCTTGGAGGAGGAGGTTTTTCGTAAGACAATACATAGTTGAGTGGGTTGGTTGCAATTACCCAAATAAGATGAGTTTTTTCGTAATCTGATCTTACCTCAGGGGGTGGCCGTAATTTGCTAAAAAATATATTTACACATTATTCATCACAAATCACCTTACTTATTTTGAAACAGTATGGGCGGGCCCCATTCGAAGTCACCTACAATGATACGGGCCGAGGAAGTACAATCGAGTTTGGGCAATGACCATCCTAGTTTCTTGAAATTCTTGGTCCGATCCCACGTTGGAAGTTGTTTCTGGATGGTAATTACCGTAATTTTTTGTCTTTCTTTAAAGGATGTTGTTTATTGCCTCTCGATTATTGTTTGTTTCCACCATAACTATTATTATTTTATTTTTTATTTTTTTATATTTAATAACTAATTTTGATTTATAGGGACTTCCAGTACCGTTCTGCAAGCTACATTTACCATTCAAGGACACTATAGTTACACTCGAAAACGAAAATGGCGAAGAATTCCCGATTAAATATATCGCGCACAAGACTGGACTTAGTGCCGGGTGGAGAAAGTTTGTCGGTGGGAACAAATTGCTTGAAGGAGATGTTCTTATTTTCCATCTAATCGAGACTTGCAGATTGAAGGTGATAATAGTTTTCAACTTATATATTTTTTAATATGTTTGCATTTTGGAATGGTGACGTGTGCTTTAAATTTGGTGATAATCTATTCATGTAAGTTCGTCTAATTTTTTACGTGCTCGTTTCTGTAGGTATACGTAATAAGGGCCAACGATTTGACGGAGGTGGATGGTGCTCTTAGCCTATTAATTTTGGATTCTCAAACGAAGCAAAGTGATGCAGGTTAGTTTTGTGTTTCAATTAGTATATATTAATTAATTAATTAATTAATTAATTGGACCTTATTTGATGTTCGATTAGTCTAATTGGAAAGAGAGAAAAAAATGATTTCTTAATGGGTAGTGAACCTTCCGTAGTTCAATTTTACAATTAGGTTTTCGTAAAATTGCATAATCTTATGTTAGCTACCAAAAGATGTCTAAGCGTATTCTTGTGGCTGTGGGCCAATTTTATAATTATACGTTTTATTTAGGGTCGGTAATTTAGATCAACACGAAAGTAATTACCAATTAAATATTCTTATCTCGACAAACCAAACGATGCCTAACCGTTTTATTGTGTTTTGGGGCCAATTTTCAATTATTGCAGAGATGGCCATCGACGCTCAAATCAAGAAGCAAAGGCGTCAAAAGTCTCTCCCTCTAACCATCGTGCAAATGAACAACGAAGCCCAACTAGAAACTTCCGGAAATGAAAGCGAAGAGGTTGCTTCCGAGGTTCTAGAAGGTTCCAAATCCTCCTCGCGCGCCCCCAACTTCAACGACGTCTCGTGCTTCGAGGAATTCCACGTCATCGTCAACGGAATCTCGATCGACTCGGAGATTCCCGAACACATCCGTCGGAAGTACTATGACCTTTGTTCCACCAAGAATGTTTTTCTCCACGATTGTCTTTTGCCGGGTCTCTACGTGAAATTGGCCGGGGGTATAATAGTCGAAACGGTGAACATAGCCGATGCTATACGAGGGTGTAAGCTCACGACATCGAAGGAGGAATTCGAAGTGTGGGAAAAGTCTCTTAGGTCCTTTGAGCTTCTCGGGCTCAATGTCGGGTTTCTGCGGGTCCATTTGAGTCGGCTTTTCGATATAGCATTCGACTCGGAAGGTGCTTTGGAAACGCGGAGGTATTGGGCGGCTCGGATGGATCGGAGTCGGGCGGAAGATGAGATTGAAAATCTTGAGGCGAAGATTTCGGAATTGAAAGAATTTTCAGCGAAATGTGATCGTGATATTGAGAATTTGAAGACGAGGGCCGAGAGGTACGAGGTGATGTTTCGAGAAGAGGTTAGTGCTTCTTGGTAAAAAAAAAATTGTTTTTTTCTTTTTTCTTTTTAATTGGATGTATAAAAATCATACTTTGATTCAAGTGAGGTATTATAGGGGGGAGAGGGTAAAAATGTTTTCTTGTTATCTTGTGTTTGTAGTTTGTAATTTGTAATTTGCAACTAACTTGAAGAGAATTGATGTTGTGATTTATCTTAGTAGATCTCTTATTGATTTAATTTCCTTAGGCCTCGTTTGCTTAGTGCTATTAAACTCTATTAACGAAATAGTAGGGGTTTAGTAAGATGTTTGGTTGATGAGATCCGTATTTAGTCAAACTGGCTACTACACTTAAAGTCCGTGATTAAATACTATTATTTGGTTAAATTAGCAGCACACTTTCCCCATGCGATTAGTTTTGTAAGGAGCGATTAAAAGAGGAAAAAAATAATTTTATCCTTAATATAATATCTTAATTTTGTTAATTAAAATACTTTTGAGACAATTCATATTTTATATCAGAATTTAATAGGGTTGTTCATGGGTCGGGTCGGTTGATTATCGGCCGATTATCGGCCGGACCTGACCAACCGACTCTTACAAATATCTAAAACCATTATCGGCCCGACTATTGTGAGTCGGGTAATGGTTGGCAACTGACTTTGTCGGTTGCCAAAACGGGTCGGTTGAAAATTATCGGCCAATATCGGCCACATTAATTAAAAAAAAAATAAAAAAAAATGCTATTCCTCTATCAAAATTCAGCAACAAACATTCCAATATTTCATGCCTAAAATCAAATTTCAACAATATCACATATTACAAATTAAATTTCCAAAAACAATATAATATACTAAAACGAATCACTTTCAGCCATTCACACTTTCACAACACAAAATTCTGAAATTTTTAATTTTAATTATTTGAGAAACACAAAAATCCGTACCTTAAAGTTTAGAAAGAACTAGAGAGGGCTAGAGGTAAATTTTTTGAGAAAGCAACGGCGCGTCGGCGGCGATGGGCTGATAGAGAGAGACGAGAGATACATCGGCGACTATAGAGAGAGAGAGAGAGAGACAATAGTCGAAGATAAGGCGAAATGAAGAGTATAGTTTTTTTAGTTGTGTATTTTTATTCATTTCACCGAAAGGTCAAAAATTAAATATTGAAACTAATAGTCGGTAAAAACATAAAGTGAAAATTAATAATAAAAAAAAAAAAGAAAAAAAAAAGTCGGTTGGTCGGGTAATATCGGCCAACCGACTTTTCAACAAATTAGAAACTATACCCGACCCAACCATGCATGAGTCGGTTAAAATTATCGGCCCGACCAAAACGAGTCGGTTGGTGGGCAATTATCGGCCAAAATAGTCGGGCAGATAATGGGTCGGTTGTCGGATAAAACCGACCCATGAACAACCCTAGAATTTAATACAAGATTTAGTATAACGAATCAAACATCTTTCTAACGAAATAATTAATTAGTCAGTGGGTTATCAATCCAATCTCATCTGATCCAATGTAATATGATATAGGTAAGCAAAGTTATATATTTGTAGTAAACTATGATCACAACATTATTTTTTAAATATTCAATTCAAGGTGCATAGATAGTGATTGATTGTGTTTCGGTGTAAAGTGCTATTATTTTTTTTAAGGGTACAAAGTAGCAAAATAATACATTTCAGGGTGCAAAAGGGTGCAAAGTGGGACTATTCAATAATGCATATAACATCAATAAACTTGAAGTAATTACAACCAACATACATAAACTTCAACACTAAGAAACATTAAACCTTAAATTAAAAATTAAAGTAATACAATTAGAAAAATACCAACTAATTAACCAAACATTAATCTCTCAAACTCCATTCTTCGTACATTGATGATCACACTCATTCAACAGATTTCTGCACAAAGAAATTTGATCAATACAAAAAAAAAAGATATATATATATATATATATATATATATATATATATATATATATATATATATATATGTGTGTGTGTGTGTGTGTGTGTGTGTGTTAACATATAATATAAACGAACCTTTGAATCAGCCTTAGTTATGACAGACTTATTCTTCGAACCGATGTGGGATTTTCGAAGGCCTAGAAAACCCCTCGACCGGGTCGGATTCTTCGGCGCCTCGTCTTCGTTATTTTGTAGCTCTTCTCTGAGTGTAGTTGTGGCTTTCCCTTTCCCTTTATACGGGAGGAGTTTGCCTTTGGAGACGAGTTCGTCGCTGATCATCGAGAAATTACCGACGGAAAATTCGAAATCCGACGAAACTGGAGCATCTCGATACGCAGCAGCCGCCCTTTTCATTACGTGTGAATGTGAATTATTATTATTATTATTATGAGATGATGATGAAGAAGAATCCATGAATTCTGTGGAGAATGAAATTCTTGGGCTGAATAATGCTGCATTATTAGCAACAAAGTTGCCTTTGTTTTCTGAGTTGTTTTTGTTGAGCATTTTGTCGAACACTTGGTGTGTGTGTGCTTTTTCTCGGAGAGTAAACAACAGCAAGCAGTATATATGGTGGGAAATTTGTGTATGTGTTAGTATGTGTGTGTGTGTGTGTAATAAATTTGATGTGGGACCCACTAGCAAACTGTTGCAGTTCAGTGTAGCAGTAGATGTTTGTATGCAGAAGCTGGAACTTTTTTTCAGGTGGCATTTTCTTTTTTTCTTTTTTCTTCTTGGACATATTCAATCTTCTTTAGATATGTTTTTTTTTTAATTATTTTTTATTTATTTATTTAATATTTATTAGTGATAAGAAAGAAAATGCTCGTCAGTACAAATTTGTGTTTTACTATGAAGACAAGCTTACTCAAAAGATTTCTAAAAGTACAGCTTCTTTTCTAAACTATCTACCACTCTAGGTGTGAATCCATTCAAAATATATATATATATATATATATATATATATATATATATATATATATATATATATATATATGTGTGTGTGTGTGTGTTGTTCAATAGTTATTTGAGATTAGGGTTTTTCGAGAGTCATGTACTAGATATATATGGTTGGATTTATGCAGTGTTCATCGCAAATTTAATGTCTGCAAAATTAAATTACAGAAAAAAATAGGGATAAATAAATATTATTAATCAAGAGAAATGGGTTACAATCTATGAATAATTACTCTAATTCTTTCCCTAAATTTAATTCAAGGGCCGAAATTTTTCTTGAATTGAAGACGTGATTCACTCCGAGATTTGTAGGAGAAAGTATGAATACAATGAAATCGATTTGCGAATTTCTACGCCCTTGTGGATTTGGTGCGCGACGAAAATGAAGAATAACCTCTGCGGTTGAGTATTTCGTGGTGGCAAGAGCTCGAGCTTTGGGTGCATATTTTTGAAGTATATATTGAGTCTATTTTATGCTACATCGGGTATATCTTTACCATTCATATACACACAAGCACACACATACCCACATTGGTGTGTGTAGATCAACGTTAAAAATTCACACAGTGTAGTCTTTAGCAGGTGTAGCATAGAAATAACAGTATATCTTGTTTTATGTGTTTTTGGTGTTTGTGACTTGTAAGTGTTTGAGACATATTTTTATAGGCTCGATTTATGGTTTGTTGACTTGAAATTTAAGTCGGTGGTTTTGAACATTTGCAACTTAATATATTTAGCTATATTTGGATCCAAATAGCTAACACAAAAAAAAAAAAAGAATTTATTATTTATTTTCTGATTTACCTATTTAATCTATTAGTAAAATCCAAATTTATTATTAATTCTGATATCAACAATTTACTTTGTAACTTAATACCAACATTTTGATGTCAACACAGCCACACATTTAAAGTTTAAACACACACACACACAGACATACATACATACATACATAAATATCCCGACACGTGGCTGTATTGACTACAGAAATTCACTTGGTAATTAATAATTATTTTTTTCTTTTTGCTTTTTCACTTTCCTATCATTAGCTATAGATTGCACTGACTTCCCAAAAAATGACGTGTCAAAATATGGTTCCCATTTTTACTACTTCATGTTTCAATTGTTTTACACATGCTCTGATGTAGAGGTGTTAACCGAGTTCACCCGACTCGTAAGCTCGATAGACCTACTCGAGAAAAGCTTGGACTTGAGTTTTTCGAGTTTAAGTTCGAGCTTGACTCAAGCTTTCTGATGAGTTGAGCTCGAACTTTTTTAGTTGTTCGTGAGATCACGAGCCGGGTCGCAAACCTTATATTTTTTATTTATTTAAGTAATGTATAATAATATAAAATATTATAAAAATAATATAGAAATATCATATAAATATTAAAAAAAAATTATATATATAATTACAGTTTATTGTTTATTTTGTAATTTTTAATTATAATCTATTTTTTTAATAATAAGAAATAATAGTTTAAAAAAAAAACTCAAAATGAACTGGGGCTTGAACGAGTTCGAGCTTATCAAAACAGACGAGCTCAGCTCGTTCACACGCACTTATCTGGTGAGCACATGGGATATGCAAATGATGTGATTGGTTTTTGTCATAATATGGAATTTGATAAACAAAATCTTGGATAGGATGCGAATCTTTTTATCTGTCATTTTTTGGACTTGGACTTAAAAATTTTGTGGGCTGAGAGAGAATGAAGCCAATTTGTCATTTCACACTAGTGAGTGAGTTTTTAGTGTTTCTGTGCTGCACATTTTTTGCTTCCAAACTGGAAAACATTCTTGGATTGTGTACTCTTTTTGGCCATTTTCTTCACCTTTCAACCTGAAATACAATCTTTGACCAAATAATAATTATCACACATACTTTTTTTTTTTAATTATATTATTATATATTTATTATATTTTATTTTTGAACTTATTAGTCGACTGCATTTACTATAAATACATATAAATGATGGACTTAAACAAATCTAGACAACGTGTCCTGGCTTAGATCGTAGGGATGACAATTTAACCTATCTCAGATCCAGCTGCACCCTAGATTTACTGGGTAATTCCTGTCTCATTATAAAAATTTCAACTTATTTCACCTTACTCGTTATGTATCCAACTTGTTTATATGTTTTTATTAATTTCATGTATTTTATATTATAAAATATTAATTTTTAGAGATTTATTAATTAAATAAATTATAAAAAAAAATTACGAGTCTGGGGCGGGATGGGTTTTATAGGGGACGAATAAAAGGTGGAAAATTTTGCTAGCGGGCCGGGTCTGGGTTTTTCAAAACCCGCCCGTAACCACCCCATGGCCCGGTAACCCTTTTTTATATCCTTTTGGTACAAGAATTACTTGATAATTGTTAAAAGATTAATAAATATAACAGTTAAGTTCTATATGACCAAAAAAATCGAATTTTGAAGTAAATTTTGTGAGCACTCTTGAAATTCTGTTTTCATTGAAAGACTACTAGATATCTATGAGTACAACTTTGTTATTTCGCCAAAAGGTACACTTTATAGTTTATACTAGGGCTGGACACGAGTCTGGTTGGGTAATTATCGACCAAGCACCTAAATTTTGGTGAATATTGAAGTCGATTTTATGTATTTCGTCGATTTCAATTTTGAGTTCCAGAATCTTCAATACTTCAAATCGTTTTGGATTGAAATTAATCTCCGATTCGAATAATTGTTGCTTTGGAATTTGTTTTCTTATTTTATATTATGATCTGTCAACTTTAGAATTCAAAATACAATTTTTTTTTTTTTTCCTCCTATCATTCTTAATTATTTTTTCATACAATTAAACCAATGGCATGAATATTTTAGTCACACTCTATGTAAAAATTAATGGCATGGGTATTTTAGTTAGACACATTCATGGGCCGGTTTTGGGCCCGGAACCGGCGGGTGAGGACCCGGCCCAACCCGTTGACCGGTGAACCGGCCCGGGGCCCGTAAAGGGGCCCTTTTTCCCGGGGAGGGGCCCGGTTTTATGAAATGGGGAACCGTGAACCGCGGGGCGGTCCCGAGGGTTCCCCCGGTTTAAAAAAAAAAAAAATTCAAAAAATTTCAAAAAAAAAAAAAGCAAATAACAGCGCCCGAACCGGTCCGGGTGAACCGGCCGTTATTTGCTTTTTTTTTGAATTCCCCCCCCCCCCCCATTTTTTCCTATAAATACCCTCACACCCCAAGTTTTCCTATAATTTACTTATTCATCAAATATTTCAAAAAAAATTAAAAAAATAAAAAATTCAAATTTTCCGAGCCGAACCGGAACCAACCCGAACCGGCGGGCCGACCCGGCCCGCCGAACCGTGCATATTACGGGCCGGTTCCGGTTCCGGAAATAGTGAACCTTGAACCGGTATGAACCGGCCCGAACCGGCCCGTGTCCGTGTCTAATTTTAGTCACACTCCATGTAAACACGAATGAAATGGGTATTTTTGACACATCGTGTATTTTTACATAAAAATTAAAATCCGAGCAAATTTATTAGTTTTTTTTAATATGTGCTAATAACTTATAACATCAGTATTATTGTTATTTATTTTATAATATACGTGAGTAAAACTAGAATTTCAAAATTCCATCAACGTTCAACTGCAATTTTCTAAAGTTTCTTCCATTCAACTTTCCAAAATTCGATTATGATTTTCCCAATCTTTTCTGAGGAAAAAAATTCAAATTAGTTTTTCATTTTTGAAAAAAAATGATTTTTTTTTTCAAAATTAGTTCCAATTACCCTAATATTAATATTAATTGTACTCCTATTCTCCCAAGTCATAATTCACAATAAAAAAGAGACCCTCCATTTCACAATATTAAAGAGTTGCACACTCCTTAATTCTTATTATTAAAATCAACAACAACCAAATAAAATACAAATTAAAAAAAACACACTCACACACACAAACCCACATAAATTAAGACTAATGGCAATTTATTATTTATTATTTATTTTCTAAAAAGTTTGATAGATCAACAGTAAAACTTGAAACCCATAGAAGTCTCAGCAAAATCAAGCAAACCATCAATCTCATCTTCATCAATATAACCGCTACCATCGGCATCCGCTACGATAATCCCACGTCCACTCTTATTGGCGGTGAACCATGCGCCGGAGCTCCGTATGGCCGCGCGGAGCTCGTCTCGGCTGAGACGACCGTCTTTGTTCGAGTCGAAACTCATCAGCCACTTCTTGAACTCCTCCACCGTCGTCTGGATCTTCCCATCGCTCGATGCGCCGCGTGCCCTATCGCCACCTCTTATCGCCATTTTTTTTTTCTTTACTCAATAAAAAAAATGGGGGGGGATGTGAACCCGAATTTTATGAGCCATTTAAACACTTGGAAATTAAAAGGAACCTTTTTAATTTATTCTTTCGGGTCAAAATTACAACTTTGGGAGGCTAATGGAATTTTATTTTCTTTACCGGATTCTTTCTTATCTGCGGAGGATGCACATTTTCATATATCGAATAAGAAATATATAATTTATTATATATATCCTCTAAAATTTCATTTTCTACTTTCATATCTAATAAGAGCTATATACCTTTTTTCTTCCAATTTAGTGGGAGAATTTTACTTTTGGGAA